CTGAAATGAGGAAAGCGCTATGTAAATAAACTCTTGTTGCTCAGAAAGTTTGGAAGTAAGGTGGTCATCAATATAAAAAGGATTCTAATTTCTTCTTCTCTCTTGACTCAATAATTCTGTGTCTAAGATACTGTCTCCAGGAACAAGATTACAAGTGTGATCATAGCAGTTAGGTGTAAGAAACAAGTTTAGCACCCAAGGAGGGAGAAGACTATGCCTGCATGCAAAGGAATATGTTGCTGTAATTTAAATCCTGCTGTACTTCAATTAGCATAATTCATCCTGTCAGAAGATATGCAGCAAAAACTGCCTGGAGTCTTTCACTTCACACAGTTGCCGATTGTGTGTAAATTTCACAGAAGTACACGACGCCACTGTAAAGGAGCCTTTTAGAGACCTTGGACAACACTGTGGGACATGCTTCCCTATGGATAGCATTTAAAAATTGAAGAAGCATTCTCCTATCTTACTCTTTTTTTTTTATTTTTTTTATTTATTTGTGTGTGTGTGTGTGTGTGTATGTGTGTGTGTGTGTGTGTGGCCAGCTCAGCCCACCAGGGGGCAGGGCTGGCTGGCATGTGGTGCTGGGGATTGAACTGTGGTCCCTGTGCTTTGCTTTAGCTTAGCTTGTTCTAAATAGGTGCTTTAGACCACTGAGCCATCTCACCAGCCCCTATCTTACTCTTTAATTAACTTATACTTTGGTTTTCTCTTGAAGATATTGAACTTTTTTCGTGTATGATAGAACATCAGTGAGCAACTGTGATAGGATTTCTAGTGTCCGTTAGCAGGATAATGGACTTTACCTAAGTGGTAAGGCCAGCTGCAGGCACCAGGTGGAAATGCACCCTAATCTTTTGAAGGATACAGTTGCATAAAGAGTAAATAGAGGGGAGATAGCGAGGTGGTGTAAGCTGAGCAAGCCGCAAGCTCAAGGACCCAGGTTCCATCCCGGGCCCCACATGCCATGTGGGCCACAGAAACTGGGCATGGTGGCCCACGCCTGCAATCCCAGCACTGGGGAGACTGAGACAGGAGGATCATTACAAGTCCGAGCTGCGTTGTGAGACCCTGTGTGGAATAAATAAATGAATAAAGTATTTAAATTTTTTAAAAAAAGAATAAATGGAAAGACAGCACTTAAATATGTTCAGTGGAAACAATTTGATATCCTTAAATAAAGACAATACTTAGGAAGCTGTTAAAAGAACAATGAACAGCTTTGAGGACATAGCACTGGGGTGCAGAGGATACAGAGAAATGGAGAAGATCACATTTAAAGAAATCACAGATAGGACCTGGGGAGATGGCTCAGTAGAATAAGTACTTGCCAGGCAAGCACAAGGGTCTGAGTTCAATACCCAGTTCCACCAAAAAAAAAAAAAAAAAAAAAAAAAAAAGAAAGAAAAAAAAAAGAAATCACAGACATTAGTAAGAGGATGACAGTAAGGGTGACTTTAAATTTCTTTTTATTTTATTTATTTATTTATTTAGTGGAACTGGGGATTAAACTCAGATCTTTGCCAGGGAAGCACTTATTCTACTGAGCCGTCTCCCTGGCCCCTTATTTTATTTCTTTTATGCATTTAGTACAGGGTCTACAGGATCTCACTACACAGATTGGACTCATAGTGATCCTTCTGTTTTCAGCCTCCCAAGGGCTGGGATTACAGGCGCACGCCACCATACCCAGTCTCAATCACTGTCTCAGCGCGCCATCCCCAGGGGTGGGGCTGGCACAGCACACCAAGGATCAAACTGTGGTCTAAATTTCTTTTTACTTAACTGTAATCCTAAATTTTGTACATCGATTTAATGATGTTAAAAGAATAGTAACAACAAAGTGTTTTAATTGAAGAAACAAAATTATTTTAAAAATAGAGTTTTTCGACATCTTCACCTCTTGTTCTACTCTACATATTCTGCTTTCATCTTGGAGCTTGGAATCTATTAGGGCTTGCCGCTGTTTTTTATTTTTTCATACCCTGGTTGCAATTCAGCAGGATGAGCTTCCATAGCGTTTGGGAAGTGCTTCAGGGAGCAAGTGGGTATGCAGAAAACAAGATAATCCAGCAGTCCTAGTGAGGCTGTGGGGTGGAGTCTTGGGAATATCTGGTGTTATTGTCGATACAGTTGTATATGCTTGAAAAATTCCAGGATACAAATGGGAGAGAGGTGACAGTAAATGATAAAGCCAACTGTGAAGAGGATAGCTAATGATAGTTTGTAGAGAAGGTGCAGGCAGCGATCAGAAGGCCACAGTGATGGGGGTGGGGGTGCTGGTGTTGGCATTGGGGGTGACTGTCCTGGTGGTGACCACGGCCGTGAAGTTACAGAAATAGTGCTGGTATCGGTGGTGTTGATGACTGCGGCAAAGGGGACAAGGCTGGTGGTGGTGACAGTGGCTGTCACAGTCCTGGGTGTCTGTGGTGGCGATGGGGATGATGTTGATGAGGAAGGAGGAGAGGAGGGGCACAGCAGTGACAGTGGGTGTGACGGTGTCATGGTGATGACAGTGATGGTGGCAACCACGATGATGGCTACGACAGTAACATGGTCATGATAATGGCCAGTGAGACTCTCGCACCCCTTTTATGATTCTACTTGCAACAAAGACTTTTCTTGCTAAGGACTGACCCCCTTTGAGAAGTAGCAAAGGTCTTGTGAAATCCTCACAAGAACGAACTCATAGTGTGAGATAGCCTACCCATAGAACCCCTTATTTTGTGGCTTTCTTTTTTTCTTTATTAATTTTATTGAGAAAGAAATAGCAATGAGACAGTTTCAAAACAGGTTAGTAGGACAGTTACAATAATTAATACACTGCATATTGGCTTTTTTTTTTTCAGAACCGGGGATTGAACTCAGGCCAGTGCACTCGACAGGGAAGTGCTTATTCCACTGAGCCATCTCCCCGGCCCCTTACACTGCATATTGTTGTCTTCATTGTAGTTATACAGAGTACAAAATGTGGACATGATATCTTGTCTAAATACTATTAGTACAAATCTTTCTTCTCATTGAACTAAGAAAAAGTAGCTGTATATTTATGCTAACTATTTTATATATATATGTATATATTTTTTTTCTTTTTTTCACTACAAAGTGGTCCTTCATTTATATTCTCCCTTTTTGTTTAGTTTTGTCAGAGATGGGTGTTCCATTGCCATTCAAATATTGTAGGTGCATGAATTCAGCAAAATAATCCAACATAATCCAATAGTCCATAATAGTAGTGGGCTATATCCACAGAACTGGCAATGTCAGAAGTTGTTGACTTGAGCCTTTTATAGCTCAGCATATTAAAAAAAACACTGGTTAGATACCATGAAGTAGGTGGCAATGCCTTAACTGTATGCATGTTGTCAGGCCCAAGGGCCTCTTCCATTCTTGTCAATGGGATTGCTAACCTTCTCTCCTTTCATACACTATTTTGTGGCTTTCAAGAATCTAGTTTCATGCCATGTGTTAGAATCTTGATAAATCAAAGTTTGAAAAAACAAACAAACAAAAAAACCCAAACAAAGTTTGCTATGGATACTTCTCTGATTCCTTCATTATTCACTTCTTAAAATAATTTATAGAACCAGCCCAGCATTGCCATACATGTCTATAATTCCTCAGGAGACTGAGGCAGGATTGCCCTGAATTTGAGGCCAGCCTGGGCTACATAGTGAGATGCTATTGCAAAACAAAAATAAAAAATAAAGCAAAACAAACAAACAACCCCCCCCCCAAAAAAAAAAAAAAAACCAACCAAACAAGAGAATGCCCAGGCAGATCAGGCCCAGAGTTCCCTGGAGGAGCAAGACCAGTGTGGCAGGACACTGTTTCCTGAGGGTGTCTCAGAAGCAGCAGAAGTGAGGTGAACTGGTACTGCATTTTGGTGCATAGACCTACAGAACAGGAGCAGGTGGGCAGGGCCATCATTTTATTTCAAAAAGTTCTGGGTAAACCCCAGCAGCAGAACAGTCCTGGGCACTTCATTGCCAAAGTCCTGGAATGGAAGCAAGGAGGAGCCACTCAGGCACAGCAGACAGCCAGAAGCTTGGAGGCAGACTAAAGGAAATTCTGTGGAAAAGCAGGAGCTCAGATCATCCATCAGACCCCACTCAGGTGACTGACTTGGCCCAGCAGTGCAAGCAGGTGAGTAGCTTGGGCCCGCAGTGGGACAAGGGCACACCCTCTGCCCTGTGACCAGTGGATGAAAGGAGATAGTGGTGTGCAACACAGGAAACTCAGAAAATTGTGCAAGATGTGGAAGGAGCCAACTGTACACGGGTCTGGGAACAACCCCCAGCTCTCTCCATTGGAGGATACCCCAGGAATGGGAGAGTGCTGTAGAGACAAACACAGTAAGGAGAGATGGACATCCAAAATATTGTCAGCAGAGGGCTGGCCAAATAGCTCAGTGGATTGAAGTGCCCCTGGGGCATGCTGAGATGGAGCTTGAGACTGGGCGTGGTGGCGCACTCCTGTAATCCCAGCACTTGGCAAGCTAAAAACAGGCAGATCACTACAAGTCCGAACTAGTAGTGAGACCCTGAACACCCTGTAGGCCCTTCCCTAAAATGCAGAAAAAATATATATTATCAGCAGAAGATTAGACCCAGTCCCACACCCAGAAGCCAAGGTCAGCCCCATTCCCACCATAAATCCTATTGCAAGCTTGGTGGTGTTACACAGCACATTTTGGGGATCTGACTTGGACACTACCAAGGAACTGCGAACACCAGAGTAATCTCACTATTTTTCTTTTTCTCTGTTTGTTTGAGTGGTTTTTCTTTTTTAGTCTGCTTGGAGTGTTTTGTGGTTGTTTTTATTTATTTACTTTTGCCTATTTAGGTTGCTTATGTTGATTTTTGTTTTGTTCTATCCGTCTTCTTTCTGTCTTCCCTCAATTCTCTCCACCGACTTTCTGATCCTTGCATCTGAATGAACGTAGTCTCTTCTCTTTCTGGTTCACTTCAGTCTTCTCTTGCTTTCTCTTTCATGGTGCC